TCTCTGGACTTCACTCTCCCATCTCCTACCTCCACCCTTCCTCCAGTGGTGACCATTGGAGGTCCTCACTCTAGGATCTCAGCACTTCCCCCTCTGATTTAGACCTGGCACTCTCCACTGGGATCCACCCCATTCCCCTCCCTGTTTACTCCTCATCTACAACCTACCTCACCCCAGTGTGTATGAGAGAGCTGTTCTTTGCCCAGACACCCACCCTCAGCAGTCCCCATGACCTACCTGATAGATTCTCAGGCATTCTATCAGTATATTTGGTCCTAATCTGATCTTTCTGTTTGCTAACTATTATCACTTTTTCTTAATCCCCCCTCTTTTTCTGTCAGAGACAGGAGCCCCTCCAGAGCCTTCTGCTTTGTCTGCAAATCTCTTCTTCCTTACTATAAAACCAGCCCCTTACCCTCACTTTTCCAGTCTTCCCTACTTGAAGTTACCCTGTCTTCCCAGAAGGTGTCTGTCTGTCTGAACAGTGGACATGTTATTGTCTCTTAAGATCGGAACAACAGGTTTAATTTCTCAGTGCCTGGCACTTGGCTCGTGTCCCTGACCCCAAACCCCACCCCCACCCCTGCCCCAACCTCCCGCCCCACCCCAGTTCCCAGCCCCACCCTCCCCACCAACCCAATAAACCCCAACCCTCCCCACCCACCCACCCACCCACCCTTCCCCGCCGGATCCGTAGTAAAGAGCCTGGCCTAAAATTTCAGACATTTCCCCTTGGCCTGTTGCTGTCCACCCTGTTTTGCTTTCCCTTCCCCAAGCCAAGCCTTACAGGCTGACCTGAGCACTCTTAAGTGCCACCATTTCACCTCTGAGAGCACTCTTCTCCTTGTTCCCTCTGTTGCTGTCCAGCCTGTCTCCCTGCTACCCTACTCTCCATCCTCTGTCGGGGCCTTCTGCAGTCACATCCTTATTTGCTGCATTCATTTGTGACCTGCTTCTTCTCTTTATCTTCCTGGCCAAGGTCAGGCTTCCTACCTCACCTTTGCAGCCTGTATTTAATGATCTAATACCTGCCATGTCATAACATTTACTCCTCTGTTCTCCAGAGTCTTCTTCCGCCCTAGACCTACTCTGGCTACAGAAACTTTCCATTCCTGTCCCTCCCTCTCTCCTGCAGCCATTCACTTTCATTAGTCCAGATCTTCCATTCATGGAACAGTCCCTTAGGTAGCCTTTCCTTCTATTCTTGCATGGCAACCTTTCTCCTCCTTTCTCTTCCCTTTCCATAAGCAGACTGACACAACACCCTACAGCCATGCCTGCACTTCTTGCTAATCTTCCTTTCTTCTCATCTCTTACTTCCATTTCTCCACAGAAGGGCCCTATAAAGTGACTGAAGCCCATTGTGATTGCCTCTCACCACCCATTTGAGGTCATCTTGTTCTCCCATTTCCTTCTCTATCAATACTGTAATATCTTCACAACATGCATGGTCACATTTTAAGACCCTCTTCTTCCACAGGTACCACTTTCCAATCTAATCTGCCTTCCTCCTCTCTAATCTCTAGATCAAGCCACCCAAGAAAGAAGCCTGGCAATTGAATACTTAAGCTCCCCACAGGGCCTTCCTCTCTTCCTCTCAGGGCCTTCCTCTACTGTGTACTACTATTTCACTGCCTTCCTTTCTGTCTCCCCTAAGCCTGTGAAACTCACTGGGTTGGAAGGTTCCTTCCATTCCTGGCTTCACTGTGTCCCTGCAGAGTCTCTGTTGCATGGTATACCTCTCTCCTTTTAGCCACCCCTGAACAGCAGAAGAACAGATTCAGTGGTCACTGCGAAATGCCTGTTCCGCATTGGTTCCCAGCTGTTCCTCTGCTATTTGGAAACCTTTTCTTCCATATACTGGACTCACTCTGCATGGGACCACCACATGTCCCTGAGGTACCTGCAGTGCTATATGTACAGCACCTGTCTTAATTAATATAGTTGCCAGTTTACCATCATTTTACCCAAGTCACTTTGGCCCTTTGCTTTACTTCCATCATAAGCCTACTCTAAAAACACCTGTGGTTTGCTTCTCTTCTCTGCTCTACTTCTGAGTCTGGCCTTGATAATGCTCACCTCACCTCCTTATCCATGAGATCTGCCAACACGCCAAATTTCAGAACTCTGCAGTCTCCCTACCCCCTATCCCATGCTGGTGCCACCACAAATATAACATTCACTCATTATCAAAGTGCCTCCTGTCCCTTTCTTTTCCTGTTAATTCCCCTGAAACAGGACATGTCCCACATACCACCTTCCCATGGCAGCCCAAATCCTGTGTCTCTCTTTCCACCATTGATGTGAATTTAACCATTACTAGGTCATCCCCTGCATTTTCTCCCACTTTGGTTTTCCAGGCATCTTCTGCTTCCTCTTCATCATCCAGTTTCATACTTCTCCTGCCACCTCACAGTCATTCCATGGGCTCAGGAGTCTTTTCTTCCATGTCTGTTTCCTTCCTGACCTGTCCTTACTGCTGCCACCATTGCCAGCTTCTTTGTTCACAGAGTGCTCTACTGAGTCTGTCTGCTTCTGAATTCACTCCTAACCATCTTAGCTTCTTGTTTGCACTATTTTGGTGACAGTCATCTCCTCTCTTAGAGTTGTTCCCCTTGATTTCTGTTCATCTTATCATTTTTTTAAGTTGTCAGTGGACCCCTATATTTTATTTATTTATATGTGATTCTGAGAATCAAACCCAGTGCCTCACATATACTAGTCAAGCTCTACCACTGAGCTCAACCCCAGCTCCTCGGCATGCTCTTTGATGACATAGTGATCCCAGCCTTTGCTACGTGCTGTGACTACTACAAACTCATTCCCTTTAGGCCCCTCCTATCTATTTTTCATTCCTGGCTTTCCTATCCATGTCATGATCTGTCTTCTCAGTGGACTTCCCTCATACTTTGCCCCATTTGCAGGGAAGAGGCTCTGAATTCCCCACATTAATTCCCCTCCTATATTGTCCTTGTGGTGGCTCTAATGGCACAGTGCCTTCTCTGGTCTTTTCAACCACCTCTTATCCCTTGACCACTAGGCTCCTTCTGGTCTTTCTCATTCTTGTCCACTGAATCACTGCCCCTTTTATGCTTTCCATGGGTTATAAATTCCTCACCTTCTTTCCTAGTGCACAAGTGTATAATCATTTCTCCTGCTCTCCTCTTTGACTGCATAGCAAAGTACTGTCACCATTCCCATCTGTAATTCTTTTAGCTTCCATCTGTGATTTGTCCAGTCGTTCAGCAGTCCTTTCTAGTGTGTACTATTCCTTGATCTGTTGGCAGCTCCTGACGAGTCAAACTATTCATTCCTCCTTCCATTACACACAGTGTACCAACTTCACATACTCTATTTGGTAGCTTGTGCTCATGTCTCTGTCTCCAAGATGTGTGTTTTTTTCTGGCTCAAACAACAATGGCTGCCTGTAACCTTTCAAGTGTCCTTTCATTTCATGTCCTTTCTTTCATACTCTTCTAAAAACGCTCTCAAATGTACATATGCCTCTAATTTTCCTACCACATACCTTTCCCCACTTCCTTTTGCCTTCTGCCATCACTCCTATCCCACATATGCCCGTCAACATCCCAGCATATTCACACACTCTCATCCTGCATAGACACTGGGCCTGACAACTGTCTTTTCCTGGATACTCCCATCCATCCACCACCTCTCCTCCTCCTCCCTCCTTAATACTCATCTGCTCCATGAGCTCACCTTTAGTGCTGGCTCCACTCCCCTCTGCCTCTTCCTTCCCTGTATGCTACCAGCCTGCTCCTCTCTGCCCACACCCACACATTGTCCTCCTGTGTGCCACCCACCCCTCTCAGCCTCACTCTTCCACCTCAGTCCACAGCTGGAACCACACTGTTGGTGCTGCTGTCCCTGCCCTTGGCAGAAAACCCCCACTCAGCCTCCATCCTCCCAGGTGCCTC